CCGCACTACATCCGTGCACATTTAAGCATCCCAGTTTTATAAAGTTTTTCTTCTTCTCTTTTTTAGTAAGTGTCTACAGGAGAAGGGGTTACTAGCCCATTGCTCCCGGCATTTTAGTCGCTTCATACGACACGCATGGCTTACGGAGGAAAGATTCTTTTCCACTTCCCCATGGACAATAGAAGAAATAAAGAAGAACAAGAGCTATTTAGAAAAAGGAGAAAAACCTAGATGTATGTATATATATATATGCATGTGCGTGTCTGTGAAGTGTGACCAAAGTGTAAGTAGGAGTAGCAAGATATCCCTGTTATCTAGCGTGTTTATGAGACAGAAAAAGAAACCAGCAATCCTACCATCATGCAAAACAGTTACAGGTTTCTGCTTCACAGTCATCTGGCAGGACGGTAGTACTTCCCTGGGTGGTTGCTGTCTACCAACCTACTAATATATATATATATATATATATATATATATATATATATATTATATATATATATATATATATTATAATGATGCCATACCTCACAGAAGAAGTACAAAGGGGCATACAGGATATTTCAAGAAACCCAAAATATTTCTGTTCCTACATACACAAAATCCAAGCTGAGAACTACCTGTTGAATTCGACCACTACAGAGAGGAGACTCATATACTGATGATGAACAGGAAATGAGTGAAATCCTGAAAAAACAGTATCAGTTGGTGTTCAGCAATTCATGAAATGACAGCAAGGTAGAAAATGCGAAAAAAAAAAAAATTTACTCCAGAAGACCACGTAGATCAACTAACTGACACTAGTACAAATCCCATAGTTTTCGAAAAAGAAATGGAAAACATGCCCACTCACTCAGCACCTGGACCAGATTCATGGAATGCTCTGTTTATAAAGAAGTGCAAAGTACCACTAGCATGAGCCCTCCGTATTCTTTGTAGAAAGAACTTAGATGTAGGTGAAATACCGGAGGCCTTAAAGAGTTCAGACATAGCTCCTTTGCATAAGGGAGGTAGTAGAGCACTAGCTAAAAATTACAGACTAAATAGCCCTAACCTCACACATAAAATCTTCAAAAGAGTGATGAGACAGCAGATTACAAATTTCATGGAGCAGCACAACCAACTTAACTCGAATCAGCATGGTTGTAAAGCAGGACGATCATGCCTGTCACAGCTGCTGAACCATTATGACAGAATTATGGAGGCATTGGAAGACGGCCAAAACACAGGTGTGATTTACACAGATTTTGCAAAGGCGTTTGACATATGTGATCATGGAGTGATAGTGCACAAAATGAAAGCCATGGGCATTACGGGGAAGGTAGGCAGATGGATTTTCGGTTTCCTAACACACAGAAAACAAATAGTAGTAGTGAACAGGGCAAGATCCAACATCAGCGAGGTCAAAAGCTCAGTGCCCCAAGGCACTGTCCTGGCACCTCTGCTGTTTCTCATCCTCATAGCAGACACAGAAAAAAACACCCGGCACACTTTTGTATCATCATTTGCAGATGACACTAAAATAAGCATGAAAGTCACCACAGTAGAGAACACTGAAAAAGTACAGGAAGACATAAACATGGTTTTCCAGTGGGCAGTGGAGAACAACATGATGTTCAATGGTGATAAGTTCCAGCTGCTTAGGTATGGAAAGAATGAAGAACTCAAAAGGAACACTACATATACAAAACTCAAGAGGGTCACCAAATAGAACATAAGGAACACACAAAAGACCTAGGAATAATTATGTCAGTGGACCTTTCTTTTAAAGACCATAACAAGACAAAGATCACGACAGCCAGGAAGATGACGGGGTGGGTATTGAGAACTTTCAGAACAAGGAAAATAATGCTGATGGTGACACTCTTCAAATCGCTAGTGCTCCCTCACTTAGAATATTGCTCAGTGCTGATGGCCCCGTTCAAAGCAAGAGCAATATCAGAGCTGGAACAAATACAGAGATTGTTTATGGCTCACATTGAGCCTGTAAAGCACCTAAACGACTGGGAACGCCTTCAAGCCTTGAACATGTATTCATTGGAGCAGAGGAGAAAGAGATACATGATAATATATATACCTGGAAAATACTTGAGGGCCTGGTCCCAAATCTGCACACTGCCATAACATACTGGAGTGAGAGATATGGGAGGAAGTGCAAAATAAACCCAGTGAGGAGCAGGGGTGTGGTGGAGACAATAAGGGAACACTGTATCAACATCCGGGGTCCCAGACTATTCAGCATCCTGCCAGAAGATATCAGAAACATGGCTGGAACAAGTGTAGAAGCCTTCAAAAGGAAACTGGATAAGTATCTTTGGCAGGTCAACCAGGCTGTGATGGATATATGGGGCAGCGGGCCTCCAGCAGCAACAGCCTGGTTGACCAGGCAAGCACCACACGAGCCTGGCCCATGGCCGGGCTCAGAGAGTGGATAAACTTGAAACTCATCAAAGGTGTATCAAAGGTATATATTAGTACACACATTTGTTCATACACATCGGTCATCTCCAGTACAGGTAGAATGACCGAAAAAATAAAAGGGATATGGTTTTGGAGTGGTTGGTGCTATTATTTAATAAATGTATGGAAGAGGGTAAGATACCTAGGGATTGGCAGAGAGTGTGCATAGTTATTTTTTTTTTATTATCACACTGGCCGACTCCCACCAAGGCAGGGTGGCCCGAAAAAGAAAAACTTTCACCATCATTCACTCCATCACTGTCTTGCCAGAAGGGTGCTTTACACTACAGTTTTTAAACTGCAACATTAACACCCACATAGTTCCTTTGTATAAAAGGAAAGGGACAAAAGAGAGTGCAAAAAATTATAGGGGGATAAGTCTGTTGAGTATACCTGGTAAGGTGTATGGTAGAGTTATTATTGAAAGAATTGAGAGTAAGATGGAGGGCAGGATAGCAGATGAACAAGGAGGCTTTAGGAAAGGTAGATGTGTAGACCAAGTGTTTACAGTGAAACATATAGGTGAACAGTATTTAGATAAGGGTAAAGAGGTTTTTGTGGCATTTATGGATTTGGAAAAGGCGTATGACAGGGTGGATAGGGGGGCAGTGTGGCAGATGTTGCAGGTGTATGGTATAGGAGGTAGGTTACCTAAAGCAGTGAAAAGTTTTTACGAGGATAATGAAGCTCAGGATAGATTATGTAGGAAAGAGGGAGATTATTTCCCAGTAAAAGTAAGCCTTAGACAAGGATGTGTGATGTCACCGTGCTTGTTCAATATATTTATTAGTGGGGTTGTAAGAGAAGTGATTGCGAGGGTCTTGGCAAGAGGTGTGGAGTTAAAAGATAAAGAATCAAACAGAAAGTGGGAGTTGTCACAGTTGCTTTTTGCTGATAACACTGCTCTTGGGAGATTCTGAAGAAAAGTTGCAGAGGTTGGTGGATGAATTTGGTTGGGTATGTAAAAGAAAATTAAATTGAATATAGGAAAGAGTAAGGTTATGAGGATATTATTATTATTATCAAAAAAGAAGCGCTAAGCCACAAGGACTATACAGGGTTATGAGGATAAAAAGATTAGGCGATGAAAGATTGGATATCAGATTGGAGGGAGAGAGTATGGAGGAGGTGAATGCATTCAGATATTTGGGAGTGGATGTGTCAGCAGATGGGGTGTATGAAAGATGAGGTGAATCATAGAAATGATGAGGGGAAAAGGGTGAGGGTGCACTTAGGAGTCTGTGGAGACAAAACTTTGTCCTTGGAAGCAAAGAGGGAAATGTATGAGAGTATAGTTTTACCAACGCTCTTATATGGGTGTGAAGCATGGGTGATAAATGTTGCAGCGAGAAGAAGGCTGGAGGCAGTGGAGATGTCATGTCCGAAGGCAATGTGTGGTGTGAATATAATGCAGAGATTTCGTAGTTTGGAAGTTAGGAGGAGGTGCGGGATTGTCAAAACTGTTGTCCAGAGGGCTGAGGAAGGGTTGTTGAGGTGGTTCGGACATGTAGATTGAATGGAACGAAACAGAATGACTGAGAGTGTGTGAATCTGTACTGGAAGGAAGGCGGGGGTAGGGGTCGGCCTAGGAAAGGTTGGAGGGAGAGGGTAAAGGAGGTTTTGTGTGCGAGGGGCTTGGACTTCCAGCGAGTACGCATGAACGTATTTGATAGTGAATGGAGACAAATGGTTTTTAACACTTGACGTGCTGTTGGAGTGTGAGCAAAGTAACATTTATGAAGGGATTCAGGGAAACCAGCAGGCCGGACTTGAGTCCTGGAGATGGGAAGTACAGCATCTGCACTCTGAAGGAGGGGTGTTAATGTTGCAGTTTTATAAACTGTAGTGTAAAGCACCCCTCTAGCAAGACAGTGATGGAATGAATGATGTTGAAAGTTTTTCTTTTTCAGGCCACCCTGCTTTGGTGGGACTCGGCCGATGTGTTAATAAAAAATTATTCACCTTCATTTATGCGATAGCTCTCTTGCTTGGAGTGTGCAGAGATCACAGTTCAAAATATCTCCACCACTCCTATGATTGTTACACAATTTTGTTCTTGTAATATCTTAAAATGTCCCAATTATAAAGTAACAAGAGAAAAATAATGAAGCAATTGCAATTGCTTCTTTGTGCAGTAATAGTGATGTAGTTACTTGACCTTATAGTGTCCTAACAGTGTTAATTGGGCTCATCTTAACACTAAAAGTGAAGATAATGCCAATTATTATTATTATATTGACCCCCTACAGGTTTAGCATTTCCCCTGATTAAAATAAAATTATTATTATTATATTCATGGGGGAAGCACTAAACTCAGTGCCATATAGTTCCTAGAGAATGGTCAGCATATAGATATGAATTGAAGAAAGGTAGTATAGATCCATTACCTAAATTCAAAGAGTCCCTTCCTTGAGGAGGGATAATGCCTATGGAAGTTGCTCAATGACCAATACAGGTTTAGAGATATTTTTTGAATATAATAATGACAGTGGAAGAATGGATTGTATTTCTTATTGTAATATATTTATTCATTTTCTTTGCAGGTTATATTGAAGGACTTGGAAAAGGCCAAAACGGCAGAAGAAATACTTGTTGCAGCTGTTCGTTATGTAAATGTACGACAAGAGCAAGAAGTAGCAAGAGGTAACACACTAATGACAGAACACTCATCAGCTTTAATTGTAACCGAATTACAAAGTCTCCTTGTAAAGAAAACTGCCTCTGATCCTAGCCTTCTGAAATCTTTACTTAGTGTCCACTTACGGGAGCTGATGGCAGTTCTTCAGCAGGCTGCACCAAGTCCATCTGACCTGGATGCCTCCTTGCATCACTTGCTGAATCAGTTGTCAACATTAACCATGACGGCCTCAACATCACTAGATGAATCTAAAAAACCTGTTGCTTCACAGCAACCATCAGTTCGAGGAGATTTGCAAAAATGGGATTTTAATGAAAATAGTAAGCTTGACCATCTTGCTGAAAAATTCCAGGAAAAAATCAGAAAAATAAAAAAAAAGTATGGGCTGAGTCCAGAACATATAGAAAGCATTAGTGATATCCAAGGTACAGTTTCACCTCAAACCAAAGATCATAACAGGAAAGATGAATTATAATAAGCAATAATATTTTGTGAAATCCTTGAAAAATGGAACTGACCATGTAGAAATATACTCATTATTTACAAATTCTTTTTGTCCTAGTTGTGTGTTTGGTACAGGTGCATAATATTGTAAGGAAAATTGTACAGTATATTTATTGTTGATCATTGGAAAGTATGGTGGCGACTGCTGTCTTTTAGATAATATATTGCACATAAACTGACTGGAGGATGCTCAGGGGAGCTGCTTGTCACTGTGATATTTGACATAAGTGGAGCAGTCAGATTGTGTAACATGCACATTTAATTTTAGTTTTGTGCTATTTCAGGTGAAGCACTTCATCTTAACTTCACTTTCTGTTAGCAGGTGTCCAAAACTGAATCTTGTACATAAATCTTTTGGAAATTGTGTACTGTCCAGACAGAAGGAAGTTTTTTTTTTTTTTTTTTTTTTTTTTTTTTTACAAGATTGTTATTGATGACACATGACACTGATTACATCAGAATTGAGTTTACAAGTAAATACCCAAATGATAATTCTAAAACTTTTTATGACGGCTTTTTTTTTTTTTAGTTGAATGTACCAACAATACATGGTAGTTTTTACCTGACGCTCTTCTTCCATGACAAATTATGAGAAGAAAATGTACCATCATGTTAACTTCAAAGATTTGTTATTGCATACAAATGTGCAGTTTAGTTCCATGCTCTCCATGGAGAGAAACTGACTATTCCAATTCTTTTTCATCTACATTTATTTATTAATTTTATAAAATACTGGGTATACCTGTCATTAGGTAAATTTAATAAGTGCAGTTGCAAACAAATCCATCCTGGCATAAAATTTGGGTCCATACCCAAAGCAGAATTAAGGATTCAATGTCCTGGCTGGGCTCTTGGTCATTTTCCAGCTGCCCGTGGATTGCTGTTCCCTTTTTGTATCATTCTTGGCCCTATTGTCTTCATTCTTAAGTTTCCACACACATTTCATTACCTTAATAATGCTCCATTTTACTTCCATTTTAGGATATATTCAAAGATTAAATAAGGTTTATTTTTTTAACATGCAATACACTGCCCATTGATAAAGATTCATAATTTTTTACATTCTTTGATATGGCATGCATTATATTTTGCTTTTAAAACACACTAATACCCTAATAACAAATGTCAGAGTTATGGGGAAGTGCTAAACCCATAAGGGTCATACAGTACCTGGAGAATGGGAAGTAATCAGGTTTGATCAAAGGGCATCTCTTAATCACCTGGATCAAGAGCCCTTCACTGGCATCAGAGTACTTCTCAAGAACAAGATTAATAAATTTATTAAAAGCCTCATATTGCAATAAAGATTTTACATTAAAGTATTTTCAGTACATTGAATTCTATTTTATTCATGCAGTTTTTCAGTGTTAATAGTGACTATAAATAAGAGAACAATAATTATTCTTTTTTTTTTTTTTTTTGTTTTTTTAATTCTTGAATACTGTAATGCTCAGAATAACTTTACATGAATGTATAAACTTACAAGCTCACATACCATTCACTGCTCATGCTCTTTCATTCATACGAACCTTGTTAATTCCACGTATTCATTCTTGCTGACACTACCTAATGTAATCATCTTCACTATGGTGCAAGTAAAAAACTGATGCACTTTACACATCCCACAAGCTATTTAAAATAAAAGACCTCAAATATTTCTAAATTTGTAATACGATACTAAAATATTAATATGTATATATGTTTTCTAGTATACTTTAAATTATTGTAGGTCAATTTCATGTACCTCACATACAGCCAGAAATGTGTTTGGGTAAGGAAAGGGAGGGGCAGGATAACCAGCAATTTTATTATTATTATAAAGCAGTTTTATTATTTAATAGGATTATTATTATTTAATGAGAAGCCCTAACCTGTAGGAGTCATATCACTAGGGTGGGATAAGAGGCAACCAGGTTCAATCTAAGGAAGGGAAGGACTGGTTTAAGTCCTTAGATTAATAGCCCCTCATTGACATCAAGGAACTTCCTGGAGGAGAGGTTGGAAAATCTGTATATTATCTGAAAAAGTCCTGTTAACAGATAAGGTGGGAATGAGGGGAATTTCTCAGTGTGCAGCCCTTCAAGGAAGGTTCCTTAATGCCAGTGAGGGGCTCTTGATACAAGGAACTGGACTTGCCTTTCCCTCCCATTCCCCAGCACTGTGACCCACACAGGTTTAGTGCTTCCCCATGAATTTAATAAATGTGGGTGTGCATACCATTAATGTATAAGAGGAAAAATAATGTTCATATTTGTGAGGTTAGATTTGTATATAAATTAGACTTTTGACTTGTGTATATAAAGTAATTTACTGCATCTGCAAATTTGAATGTTGAATTTTGTTGTAATCTAATTTTGTTTGATTACAACAAGCTAGTTATTTAAGAACATTCCAGTTGCAGACTATTTTCTAAGCATACAATAGCAATCAACCAGAACATATGGAACTGCATTTTCTGATTAGTAGTTTCAGGTGTGGGAGCTACACAGAATGGATCTATTATTTGTGTGAATGTGCATGTGTGTGTGAAGGGTGTACACTGGTGTGTTTCTATCATTATGCGGTAGGGTTCCTGTGACAATTTTTTAATAAAAAACAAAATTAAATTCTTTTTATACCTTTAATATCATAATGGGTGGAAGCACCAAACCCATAGGGGTCACATAGTCAATAGGGATTGTGAGGTAATCAGGTTTAATTCAAGTGGGAGGGTAGCTCAAATTCCCTAGATCCAGCTTCTCTCACCAGCATTCAGGCATCTGCCTTGAAAGGAGTTTGATGTCTCTAGATTTAACCTATACAGTGGACCCTTGGTTTACATGTTTAATCTGTTAGAGTGATCGGCAAAAACGGTAACCATTTTCCCCACGAGAAATAATGTAAATCCAATTAATACGTTCCAGACACCCCAAAAAAAAAAAAAAAAAAAAAAAAAAATTAAAGATGGATTTACATGCACAAAAGAATGAACAGTGAACATGACACTTACCTTTATTGAAGGCTGCTGTTGATGGATGGAAGACAGTGAGGAGGAGAAAGGGAAGAGAGGTTGTTTGGAAGGGAAATCCCCCTCCATAAGGACTCTAGGTACCAAGTTTTTATCTGGGGGTCACTTCCCTCCTTTATTTTTTTAATGTCACTAGGACAAGCTTGAGAGTCACTGAACCCCTGTTGCACAAAACATGTCCAGATAGGTCTGTTTCTGGTGTGTCTAAGATTTGCCTAAAATGGGACATGGCATTGTCATTGTAAAAGTCGCCAGAATGGATTGAAACGGCTTTCTCAGGGTGATGTTTCTCCACAAATGAATGCACCTTAGTCCACATTGCACAAATCTCCTTAATCTTTGAATAAGGCACCCTCTTCCATCTCTCTTCCTCCTCCTCTGAAGCAATTTCCTGAGCTGTGGTCTGTTGCTGTTGCAGATGAAGCTCTTGCAGCTCATCAGTGGTTAGCTCTTGATTGTGGTCCTCCACCAACTCTTCCACATCCTTGCCACTAACATTCAATCCCATGGAATTCCCCAGTGCCACAATTGATTGCACAACAGGTGTAGGGTCAGCCTCAAACCCTTCAATTTTCCCCAAGCAGAGTTCATCGTCCTGGAAGTCACTCCCTGCCAAGCCTTATCTATAAGGCTTATGCAATGGAAGATGTTGAAGCGATTCCTCCATAACTCTTTTAGGGTCAATTCAGAGTCCGAGGTTATGACAAAGCACCTTTGAAACATTGCTTTGGTGTACAGTTTTTTGAAGTTTGCAATGATCTGCTGGTCCATGGGCTGGATGAGAGGAGTGGTGTTAAGAGGCAAGAACTTCACTGTTACAAAACTGAATTCCTTAGACAACTGGTCTTCCAAATCTGAAGGATGAACAGGAGCATTGTTCATTAGCAGGAGGCACTGGAGTGGCAGTTTATTATCCAGGAGGTATTTCTTCACACTCGGGCCAAACACTTCATTGAACCATTACTGGAAAATTTCCGGCATGACAAATGCCCTACTGTTAGCCCTCCACATCACACAATTTACTCTTGACAACACTGTTTTTCTTGAACACTCGGGAAGTTCCAGTGATACACCAATAAAGGCTTCACCTTGAAATCCCCACTAGCATTACCACACAAGAGAGTTAGCCTGTCTTTCATAGGCTTGTGTCCTGGGAGTGCCTTTTCCTCCTGCGTGAGGTAGGTCCTCTATGGTATTTTCTTCCAAAACAGGCCTGTTTTGTCACAATTGAACACTTGTTGGGGTTGGAATTTTTCAGCCTCTACATAACCTTTGAATTCCCGCAAGAATTTTTCAGCTGCTTGTTTGTCTGAACTGGCACCCTCCATGCCTTACAACACTGTGTATGCCACTTCGCTTCTTGAATTTTTCGAACCAGCCTTTGCTGGCCTTAAATTCACCAACATCAGCACTCGTTTCAGGCAGTTTCTTTATGAGATCATCATGCAACTGCCTTGCCTTTTCACAAATTATCGACTGCACAACACTATTTCCTGCTAACTCTTTCTCTGATCCACACCAACAACAATTTCTCCATTTCTTCAATTGTTTGGGATCTCCGTTTGGTTATCACATTCACCCCTTTCGCAACATCAGCTTCCATGATTTCTTTTCTCTTTGCCACAATGGAGCTGATGGTTGATGGCGCCTTCCTGTACATCCTGCCGAGTTTGGCAATGCGTATGCCACTATCATATTTTTGAACAATTTCTTTTTTCATTTCTATTGTGTTCCTCACATTATTTACCAAAGGACTAGCACTAGGAGCTTTCTTTGGGGCCATGGTGGCTTATTTAGCAGTCATGCACAATAAACAAGTGCCAAAAACAATGGATTATGAAATGTTTCATACAACCTCGCAAGATATGCTCTCTCACCGGGAAACGTGACACTGCCTGAGAATGTGTGTGGGAGGCGGCTTTGTCTGCACGTTGGGCACTGGACAGGTTCTGTACCATCGATAAAAACAGAGGAAATCGACAAAAACAGAACCAAAATATTGACGAAAGAAAGTCAGCAAAAACGGAAATCGGCGATAACGGAGATCGACAAAAAGGGAGGGTCCACTGTGTGGGTAATTCTGCATTATGGTGGAGTACAGATGTCAGGTGGAAGAAACATGAAGGTTAGGCTTATATGCTAAAAGATATGAATTAGAGTAGGTGCAACAGTTAAGTTTCAGTTAAGCAATCAGCACTGAAGGCCAGGCTATTCAAGAGTGGATCAAGGTACTGAAGATGGTGAAAGTGAATTATAATGTACATGCATTTTTGATAAACAGGACACTCAAAAAAGTGTTTGAGTGTAAATAAGACCTTACAATTAGAGCATAAGAATACTGGGTGTCTACATAACCTTCTTACAGTTTTAAAGAGTAATTTTTTCTGAATCAAATAAGACTAAAATTAGTGAAATCTAATAAAAATTTTATTGACTCTTCCTCTTGCTTCGGCTCACCTGACTGCAGTATATAAGCCACTTCTCTGACTATATGCTGTACTTCCTTCAAGACATATAGACTGAACACATCAGTTCAAGGCTGAAGGACTGATTACCTCAAACTCCTAGTCTCTTTACACCGTTCATCTTTGTACCAGACTGATGAAGCCACTGTGTGGCAAAAGGTTTCCTCAATAAAGATTCCCACATGTTGCATGAGTGTCTCATTCTTCAACTTGTCGGTTTTGTAAAGCATTTATCGCATGTCAGACACTGCAACATCATGGGATCTTGATACAAGGAATCCTTCGACACTTGTCCACCTTTGGACAAAGACCTACTTATACTAGTGGATGGTGCCATTGTGGCTCCTCCTCCTGCTTTGAATCTCCTGACTACAGTATATAAGCCATTTTCCAACTATATGCTGTAAACATTGGATTCAACTTTGTATAGAAAGGGGTTTTAGTTATAGGTAATACATATTTTAAGAAAAAGAGGATAAATAAGTATACAAGATATGATGTAGGGCGAAATGACAGTAGTTTGTTGGATTATGTATTGGTAGATAAAAGACTGTTGAGTAGACTTCAGGATGTACATGTTTATAGAGGGGCCACAGATATATCAGATCACTTTCTAGTTGTAGCTACACTGAGAGTAAAAGGTAGATGGGATACAAGGAGAATAGAAGCATCAGGGAAGAGAGAGGCGAAGGTTTATCAACTAAAAGAGGAGGCAGTTAGGGTAAGATATAAACAGCTATTGGAGGATAGATGGGCTAATGAGAGCATAGGCAATGGGGTCGAAGAGGTATGGGGTAGGTTTAAAAATGTAGTGTTAGAGTGTTCAGCAGAAGTTTGTGGTTACAGGAAAGTGGGTGCAGGAGGGAAGAGGAGCAATTGGTGGAATGATGATGTAAAGAGTAGTAAGGGAGAAAAAGTTAGCATATGAGAAGTTTTTACAAAGCAGAAGTGATGCAAGGAGGGAAGAGTATATGGAGAAAAAGAGAGAGGTTAAGAGAGTGGTGAAGCAATGTAAAAAGAGAGCAAATGAGAGTGGGTGAGATGTTATCAACAAATTTTGTTGAAAATAAGAAAAAGTTTTGGAGTGAGATTAACAAGTTAAGGAAGCCTAGAGAACAAATGGATTTGTCAGTTAAAAATAGGAGAGGAGAGTTATTAAATGGAGAGTTAGAGGTATTGGGAAGATGGAGGGAATATTTTAAGGAATTGTTAAATGTTGATGAAGATAGGGAAGCTGTGATTTCGTGTATAGGGCAAGGAGGAATAACATCTTGCAGGAGTGAGGAAGAGCCAGTTGTGAGTGTGGAGGAAGTTTGTGAGGCAGTAGGTAAAATGAAAGGGGGTAAGGCAGCCGGGATTGACGGGATAAAGATAGAAATGTTAAAAGCAGGTGGGGATATAGTTTTGGAGTGGTTGGTGCAATTATTTAATAAATGTATGGAAGAGGGTAAGGTACCTAGGGATTGGCAGAGAGCATGCATAGTTCCTTTGTATAAAGGCAAAGGGGATAAAAGAGAGTGCAAAAATTATAGGGGGATAAGTCTGTTGAGTATACCTGGTAAAGTGTATGGTAGAGTTATTATTGAAAGAATTAAGAGTAAGACGGAGAATAGGATAGCAGATGAACAAGGAGGCTTTAGGAAAGGTAGGGGGTGTGTGGACCAGGTGTTTACAGTGAAACATATAAGTGAACAGTATTTAGATAAGGCTAAAGAGGTCTTTGTGGCATTTATGGATTTGGAAAAGGCGTATGACAGGGTGGATAGGGGGGCAATGTGGCAGATGTTGCAGGTGTATGGTGTAGGAGGTAGGTTACTGAAAGCAGTGAAGAGTTTTTATGAGGATAGTGAGGCTCAAGTTAGAGTATGTAGGAAAGAGGGAAATTATTTCCCAGTAAAAGTAGGCCTTAGACAAGGATGTGTGATGTCACCGTGGTTGTTTAATATATTTATAGATGGGGTTGTAAGAGAAGTGAATGCGAGGGTCTTGGCAAGAGGCGTGGAGTTAAAAGATAAAGAATCACACACAAAGTGGGAGTTGTCACAGTTGCTCTTTGCTGATGACACTGTGCTCTTGGGAGATTCTGTAGAGAAGTTGCAGAGATTGGTGGATGAATTTGGTAGGGTGTGCAAAAGAAGAAAATTAAAGGTGAATACAGGAAAGAGTAAGGTTATGAGGATAACAAAAAGATTAGGTGATGAAAGATTGGATATCAGATTGGAGGGGAGAGAGTATGGAGGAGGTGAATGTATTCAGATATTTGGGAGTGGACGTGTCAGCGGATGGGTCTATGAAAGATGAAGTGAATCATAGAATTGATGAGGGGAAAAGGGTGAGTGGTGCACTTAGGAGTCTGTGGAGACAAAGAACTTTGTCCTTGGAGGCAAAGAGGGGAATGTATGAGAGTATAGTTTTACCAATGCTCTTACATGGGTGTGAAGCATGGGTGATGAATGTTGCAGCGAGGAGA